TCCATATTAAACCAGCGATATGTTAAAATGTCCCGCTTGGCCCGGTGGCTGGAGCAACGCACGTAGCTGAACAGAGATTTTCCCTGACAACTGTGAAGCCACTTCGAATTACTGCAGTTAAAAAGTAAATGCAAAGGGAAATGTTTGCCTTCCCTCTGTTTTAAAGATTGCTAGTTGCTCTAATGAAGTGCAACGACCAGAAATGGGGGAAGGGTCCTGTCCTAATTCCTGTTCTCTGTCTTGCAGGTTATTCTAAAGGAAAAAGTAAAAGAGCTTAACCTGCACGAGGTAAGTGGATATTATCAGGCAGTGGTCACTCCTACACCTGCACTGCAAAGTCTTTCCCCTTTGCTGCGTCATCCTGTATAGGCCTCCTGCCCTTCGGTTTTCTAGCAGCTACTCAAGAGACTGCATGGGAGGGAGATGGAGAGAGTAAATTAGGAGCAGCCCAGACCTGCAGATCAGAGGAATAAAATGAAAGCTAAAGTTGGCTAGAGAAAGCCCCGGAGCATAACTAGGTCAGGAGAGAAGCACACGGTGGGTTGTTTTGGGTCACGTTCCTTCAAGCAAGCAGCTGAATTCAAGTGCTCCTTTCTGCCTTCTTATCAGAGCGGTATTTGGGAAGCCAAGTGGTGTTTCTCAGTGCCCGGGCAGAACGGGGTGCCCACACCTAACCCCATGAAGTTGAAAAAAATGAGCCTTGAGTATCATATTGGAGGTGGGAGAGCGCAGCGTTGGCTCGAGTCTCAGCCTGGGCTCGGGGCTGTGTTTGAGCTCGATGCTGTGATGCCCTAGGATGGTGGGAGAGCTGACTTTGGTGCTGAGTGGCTCCTTGGCTGGTGCTGGAATGACCAAAACTGGGCAAGATGTGAAATAGAAACCAGAGAGGAGGAGGAGGACAGCAGGAGCAGTAGCAATTAAACGATTGGTGGCATGTGGGGGAGCACGGGAGACTTGTATACGAGAAACGCCTGCCCCGTTGAGCCAGGGCCGCAGGGTGAAGCTCGGGGACTGGCGAGACGAACACCGTGGGCTGCTGCGGGGGGTTGAACTGTCGGCCTGCGATGGAAAGAGAGCTGAATTGCACGGGATTTCTAGGAACAGGGGAGTTGTTTATAGACTCCCAGCTGCCCTGCCCATGTTGCCAGACCGTCGTTACTGAGTAACCCAGTTTTCACCGTTAATGTGTTAAAATGTTACCAAGAGAGGAAGAGTGCAGCCCAATGAGGCCAAGCTCAGTTCCTGTCCCCACCTGAACCACGACACACATCCATTAGGGTTCAGGATGGCCAAAGTGCATCTCCCAGCCGCTCGGGGCTTCGGCCAGAATATTTACGTGTAGCTGCCTGTGCAGCAGCTGTCTTGAAAGGCCTCCCCGCTTCCGCCGGCGCCTGTTGTTGCCACATGCTAATAGGAACAGAGGCAGCAAAGGAGCCCGGAGCAAAGCAGAAACCATGGAGGATTGGGAAACAGCAACGGGCAGGAGGCAGCGTCGCGGGCCTGACACAGCACAGCATGACGCCAGGGTGCAATAGAGGAGGAGGGATGAGAGCAGGCGTGGGACGCTCGTAGCACAATATGCATTTTGTGCAAACAAGAGCCCCGCACACCCAGGCCGGTCCTGACATACGCAGGTGTCATTGCTGTAGCACTTCCCCAGAAGTGTAGACACTGTAACGGTTTGTTAATGAGCCCTCTGGATAGATGCTGTAATTGCTTGTTAAGGAAACCTCTGGAAGCCAGGCTCAGAAATGTTTCTGAGCCAAGTTTTTTATTCTCTGCCACGATGGCTCTGATTTCTGATCGTCCTGGATTCCCAGAAAGGCTGGGATTTGGGCAGCAGGTGGGGTCCAGCTGTGGGGGATACATGTTTGGAGGCAGAAAATGTGCCATGCAAGACGATTGAAAACTGTGGATAAAAGAGAAAGTCAAATGTAAGCCCTTCTAAGTTTTAAACAGCGTCCATGTAAAGGTGACTTCTGATTCAGTCCCGCTCTCAAGCTCCCTGGCACATTTCTGGTGCCTACTGTAGTTGAGCAGAATAAACTCCAGAGATTTCATTTGAGAATAAAGAAATCCATCGAATCATACCACTGCCCCCCAAGGTGGCAGAGATTCCCCTCCCCAAACCAATAAAGCAGCTTGGCTTTTCTGAGCCTACAGATCGGAGAAGGGGACAGAGGCATCCGGTCATGGCAGCTGTACTTTGCAGTGCATAGGTTAAGACTGAAACATCGCTGTTAGCTGCTTGCTGCTGCTCGCCGTAGCGAAAAGCACCGGGGACTTGGGGGATTCTCCTCTCCCATCCGTCAGTGCTCGGAGCCTTCCTCCGATGCACGGATGTACTAATATCAACCTGCTGGATCAAAGTGTAACCACACACCAGAACCTGCAAGAGCTCCGGTTTAAGCCTTGCACCAGGGAACATGCCAGCAAGTGCCTTGGACATCGTCTGTATCCGTGATGGATGGAGGCTGGCCACACTCCTCTCTAACGCTGCCCTGGAGGAAGGGCGGGGGGGTGTCATTTTGGGGACAGAAGGACCTGGAATATCATGAGCAGAATGGGGGCAGACGTTTCAGCCTCCCCCACTGCAGCAGGATGCTGGGTCTCAGGAAAAGAAACAGCATTAGCAAAAATCCCCCTTTCCCACCTGCTTCCCAAGGTTTAGACATCTCTGCGGTTGTAAAACTTTGCAGACAAAATCCCCGGGGTGCAGGGATTAGTACTGAAGCCTGGTTCGGATCTCTCCTATTTCTGCTTTAAAAGGTGTGAGTTTTAGGCGGGGGAGGATTTAAAGCTAGAAAACCTGTTTTGCAGATTGAAGAAGGCAGGTGCGGGAAGGTAGAGATCCCGTGAGTTAACTCATCTACCACGCGTTGGCTTGGGTTGTCTGGGAACAACAAAGATCGAGGGCTGTCGGGTCTCTGAATCCAGAGGGCTTCATAACGGGGAGGCAGCTCTAGCTGTGCCCAGTGGTGCCATCAGGACTGTCACGGTGACTTGCGGAGATCCTAGATTTATCTTGCAGGACGTGGGAGGTAAAAAAAATACATAGAGTTGCACAGAAAGCTGGATTGCAAAAGCGAAGCTGGAGCGCTCGGCAGCATGACGCTTGCAGCTGCCGCTGTGGGGAGTCTGAGGAAGTAACTGGTTATGCAGTTGGACTAGGGAGCCTTTAACTAGGGAAGCTATTTTTATATGCATCTAATAAGCCCATCTGCTTAGAGATGCTGCAGGGGGAAGGCATGCCCACGGGGCCATGGGTGAGGCTGGCCAGACCGTCTCAAAGCGATTCCCATCGCAGACACCATTTTAAAGCAACCTGCAGTCATAAGAACATGTCGGATTCTTCCTGCATCCCGTCTGCTGCTCTGGAAGTGGGGACCCAGCCACTTTGAAGTCGTTCGCGGGGCAGGCTGTGAATCGTCCCTGGAAGATCTGGGATCCCCCTCAAGACTGCACCTGGAATAACCACGCTCCGCTCTGCTGGCAGCTCTTGCCTGTGGTCCTCCGAGCCCATGTGTCACGTTTACTTCCAGGCATCTCATTACGAAGAAGGCACGAATAAGCCGCAGACAGTTCCAAAAAGAACAGCAGAAATGATTAAGAGGCCCCAGGGACTTGGCAAAGGAGGGCAGATTGATACAGCTAACGTGCGTGTTTCTTTTCCTTTCCTGTAATTCAGAAGGAACTGACAGGATTTTGCTCAAACTTCCTAAGCGTTCGCCTCTTGGGCAGAGACCAATCGTGGAAAATTTTAGCCTTCGAGGCAGAGCAGAGTGTCTGCAAGCAGGTGCTTGTAACTCTTGCCGGGGTCCCGGCTGGGAGCGAACGGTACAGCCGCAAGCTGAGTGTCACGAGGAGGTTTCCTTTACAACCCTGCGATTTTTGCACGTCTG